TCTTTAGAAAATGAAGCATATAAAGCAAATACACAATCACTTGCTAATTTTTGGGATAAATATGAGATATTATAGATAATTCAATTTTAAAGGCTTTTGTGATTTGTGGTATCCAGAAATATTTGCAATTCCTGAAATTTCACTTTACCAAATATGTAAAAATTATTATTTTTAAAAATTTTATTAATAGTGATAATAATGGTATTCAGTTGTTTTTTATTAAGTAAAAATAAAAAATAAAGATTAAAAATGTTTGGGATTTTTAGAAGTTTCGAAACAGTTTAGGAGTTTCATTTTCTAAACCAGTTTAGAACAACTCTAAATCATACCAAGAAAGTGCAAAAATCATACATATCATAAAATTACAATCTCATCCCAGTTTAGGAGAAAATACAATTATAATTCAATGTAAAGTAAATATAATTATATTGTAATTATATATGTTTATATATAGAATCACCAAAAAAGAACTCTTCCAAAAAATTGTGAATTGGAAGATGTGCAGACTCCGGACACCTATGAGCCCAGTTGATCCATTCCTGTTCCATATAGTGAAAAATTCTACACTATTCCTATTATAGTTTTAATTTAATTTAATGTAGAGTATGTGTTATGAACAAATTAACCACATTTTTTCCCAAAATTAAATTCACGGATATTTTTAGATTTGTTGGAAACAGCTGTAATGTGCTATCATTGTCTGCATCTCAAAATGGAAAATATGTAATGAATGACATATTATTTATTGTATATCAAAAAAACCTTTGATGCAAATGTTACATTTACTAGTTAAATTTTCTTCGAAAATTTTCTTTGATTGGAAAGGCATTCCCCTTGAAAAGGCCATAGCTATAGATGAGTTCTTGTAAAAAGTTTTTAGACAAGAGCTTTGCTGCGTTCTATGGAAATGAGAAAAGTTCATGGGAGTAAAAGTTTTAAGATAAAGAAGGATCGGAAAAATAAATGTTATTTTTTTAATACTACTACTACTGTATTAAATAAACAAATACCCCTTAGTATCTAATCAAATTAGATCACCGCTTTTTTTCTTTCCACAATATTATTATATGTGTATCATGTGATAAAATCAATTTCCATATGAAAAGAAAAGGCGGCCCAGTAATCATATATAAATATGGGTAATTATTTGTTTTTTATAACTAAATTTAATTTAATAATAAATAAACTATACAACTGCATCGTAAAAAAAATAATAATAAAAATACGATCATTTCGATTATTATTTTTATTATTTTTTTTTTCTCGTTTCAAAAAAAATGAATTTTCCTTTAACAGAACGCTTAACGGAATTAAACAATGCATTTGAAAAATCTCTTATATCTGATAATGAATATAAAATGATAAGAACTAAATTATTTGATATGTTTACTAGTGGAAATCTTGCCATTGATAATAGTAATAATAAGAGCAACAATAATTTAGACAAGATTGGAATTGATAGTAATGACAATATTGGTGGTAATAGTAGCAGTAATAATGTTGATAGCAATAATGTTAGCAATAACATTGCTAGTAATAACGTTAGCAATCATGCTAGTAATAATATCACTATACAACAACAACAGCAACAACAACAACGATTATCATCAATAAATAATAATAATAATAACAACAACAACAACAACAATAATAATGACATTGATATCGATATTGATAATAATAATGATATTGATAATAACAATATTGATAATAATGACTTGGATCATCAAAAGACAATCACAAATTCTTCCAATTCTGATTCATTTTTACCAAGTAATCATAATTATAATGAAAACGAAAATGAAGAAGAAAAAATACCAGCACCTTCTGAATCTTCTTCATCATTGTCATCATTGTCATCATCATTGTCATCATTATCATTAGAAAATAATGACAATAATGATGATATGATACTATCAATTGGTGGAACAACTTCTACTACACTACAACAACCTTTTCCAGAACTATCTCAAAGAAATAAAAGAAGAATATTATCTAGTGGTTCCAAATTCAGAAATAGCCAGAGACCAATCTCTATGGATCTACGATCTTCTTTATCATCATCAGAAAAAAGTAATGATAAGCATGCCAATCCAATTTTATCATCTTTATCTATTATTAATCATTCATCATCACATAACAGTCGGCACAATAACAATCAAGAAAATAAAAAACAACCAAAGAAAAGTATGAGTGCAACAAATTTAATGAAACGTGCTAAAACAATAAGTTTTGCAATACCAATAAAATCACCATCTACACCACCTACTTCATCATCATCGACATCTTCTTCTTCTTCTTCTTCTTTGTCATTGTCTTCAAAACCATTACCACCACCACCACCACCTTTATTTTCACCACCACCACCACCCTCTTCACCACCACCCTCTTCATCGCTGCCATCACCTTTACGAACACCAACACCAATACTAACACTTACACCTGTATCAACAACAACTAACCGTAATAACAATCACAAAACTAACCATAGCAACCATAGCAACCATAGCACTAACCATAGCACTAATCATAATACTAATCATAATACTAATCATAATAATAGCAGTAATAATAATCATAACACTAATCGTGGTGATAATAATAATAACAATAATAATAATACTTCAAGTGCAAATAATACAACTGCTTCATCATCATCATCATCATCATCATCATCATCTCCTTTGTTATCTCCATCATCATTTTCAATTAATACTACTACATTACAACCAATAAATACAAATCTAGACTCTAGGCCTATAATTAATGATAGTTCAGGTAAATATTTTTTAATAATAATAATAAAGTGAGTTAATTAGTAATAATAATAATATTTATAAATATCATTCTATTCAAAAAGATAGTTTTGATCAACCAGTACCTGAATTTTCACCACCAGAATCATCACGTAAATACATTAAAAAATATATTCAATTAACTATTTTTTGCAAATTAGTAATAAAAAATAAAAAACATCTAATTAATTCACACTGATTACATTTTAATATTGATTGATTTGAATTTATAATATAGAAACAAAATATCATAGACTTTCTGTCAAGTTCCTTATAAACCCAAAAACAAGTCATGAATTACGTAAAGAATTACATAAAATAAACGAAGAATATAAGAACGAACAAGATAGTTGGAAAGCTGAAAAAAGAAGACTGAAAATGACAAAAGGTACAAAACAAGAAGACCTTGATCATACGAAAAGAAAATTGAAAGAAAGCACTGAAAAATATAATAAAAAAATTGAAAAATTGAATAATTTATTTCAACAACAAATTAGCATTGGTAATAATAGCAATAATGGCCATGGTAATGATAGTAAGGGAGACATTGGCAGAGAAATTATTATTACAAATGGTAATGATAGTTATAATAATTATATATAAAATAAATAAAAACAGGAAAAAAAGTGATATTTTGAAAATGAGGGGAAAAGCAATATATTTATAGAGTTATAATATTTATATTTATATTAATGTATATATATAATTTATATTAATAATATACTTGTTGTAATGTTTCTTTCATCCAAATATTTTTATGTGCTAATATTAAAAATTTGTAAATATTTTTATATTATATATCTCCTAATATTATTTAATTTGTTATATTTGAACTTTCAGAAGAAGGATTTGATTTTTCTAGTGCATTATCATTTAATGCATCATT